AGGTTAAGAAGAAAGGATGAGTCTATTTCAAACTTACAATCGCAAAACAAAAAGCTTAAGACAGAGAACTGTGTTTTACAGGATCGGGTCGGGACTTTGACAACAAACATTCATCATTTGGAAAGCACCATTTCTGTTTTAAAGGAAAAAGTTTTAAAAAATCAAAAGACCAAAAGTGATTAAAAAATTCGATTAAATAAAAAGGAAACCCTCCTGAAATGTGCTAGCGCCAATGAGACTCCTGACAGAAACAAAATTCCAAATTGGAAGCTGAAATAAAAAACTTGGAGGAGTACATTGTGTTTTTGGAGGCGAACAAACCGCCATATGGAATTGCCACATTTCAAGATGGAAAATATTCCTCGGCAGTGAGGGAGGCATGCATCACTTTATTGATGGAGTGTAACGTGAGCATCAACAAACTGCCACATGCCATCAACACTGTGCTGGAAAAGCTTGCCAATGTATCAGCAGAGAAGTTGCCAAGCTCTGCAACCCTAAGCAGACTGATCACAGAGGCAAGCGTACTAGCAAGTGCCATGTCAGTGACGCCATGCTCCAAGATTTTGACCCAACAGCACCAGTGGGCAATGTTTTACACCAGGATGCCACGACGAAGTTCCATCGGCACTATGAAGGGATGCAGGTAATGCCATAGTTCAAATGTTCAGAGGAAATTATTACCTTGCACTAATTTAGTCCACATTTGTTGATTTAATTCATGATTGTTTTTCTACATGCTGCACTGGTTACAATTACACTAAACATTTCTGGAGAAAGTTGAACAATGTACCACAAGCCATGAGTTTTTGATGAAGTTGAAAAATCTAAAGATAATTTCCAAATTGAATCTATCGTAAATGCATAGCATTTTGCATGAACACATTTTAAGTTTTTAAATTGCTTTAAAGAATCACAAAAGAAAAAACCTTGCACAATAAAACCAGCTGAACAGAATTGCTATATATAGATTATCTAATTTTAATACCATTCACTCACTTTCAAAACAAGATTAAAGATGTATGTATAGTTTAAAAAACACATTCCTCTGCTTTTCTTTCATTATTTCGTTTGAACAAAATATTTTTTCAGGTCACTCTCAAAGATGGACACAGTCTAACCATGGGTCTGATGGAGGTCGCTGGTGGAGATGCGTCAATCTACAAGAATGTCTTTGAGGCAATCATTGACAGGCTTGCTTCTTGCTGTCGTGAGAAGGATGAGCTGACGAGGGCCAAGCTGATTACATCGTTTAAAGCTTTCATGAATGATCGGTAAGTGGATCTTAATAGAATGAAGTACTTTTCATGACCAATCCATCTAGTTCAAGATGAATTGAAACTCTCTCTCTCTCTCTCTCTCTC